CCAAGTCCTGGGTGTTGCAGGCTGGGTGCCTGGAGCCACATGCGGCTCTTTGGCCCCTTGAGTGTGGCTCTTCCACAAAATTCCACATGTGGGCACGCGATGGAAGTCAGTATTTTGTGGAAGGGCCATCCTCAAGGGGCCAAAGAGCCGCATGTGGCTCGGGAGCCGCAGTTTGCCGACCACTGCCCCAGACCCTTGTAATTCAGATGAACTCTGAACTGAGACTCTTTGCATCTCATTTTCTCATTAGGTTTTATTACAGCCAACAAAACTTTCAGGAGCAAATTACTTCCCCTTTTCAAGGGTACACCAGACTCCCATAATATCTGTGCAGACCAAAATAATGAAATGGTTTTTAATCAAGCTTTAGGGATTGGAAAGAAAAGTGAGAAACTTGGGGGGACGGGGGGACTTGGACCTTCTCATCTCTATGCTAACCAAAGTGTGGTTTTTCTGGTCCCTTTTCTTCCTTAGGGTTTTAGTGGGGTGGGGGGTGGGGTGCAGGGAGGGGGGAAACCAGGATTAAAAATTGGAAATGTCCCTTGGCTTGAAATTCCATTTAAAATCATTTAAAGATTTCCCTTTAAATTCCCTGGAAATACAGGTCACTTCCGCAAGAAATGTGGATAGATTAGCCTTAAACCCATGGCCCAGGAAGGATTTAGTATAGTAAATACATGCTTTAAAATGAAGTCACTGTATTGAGAAATGGCATCTGCTCCCCACACTTAGACCAGAAGTGCCAACATCAAATCCAGTAGCCGTGTTTTAACACGGGAGGTTGAAAAGCATTGTTTCCGACCCTTACAATCTGCCATCCATTTATGAGTTATTTAATGTTTACTATGCATCAAGCATAAGACTGGCTCTTGTCCTCCAAGAACTTATACTTTAGTTGAGGAGCCGAAATTTAACAGGATTTTTAAAAGAAAGGAGCAGAAGACAGTATAATTAAGTGCTAAACAATGTGGTATAGATGCTAAGGGACCTGGGCTGTTAGTGGAAGAGAAAGATTGCTGAGGGCCGAGACGCTCAAGAGTATGTTTTTCAATAAACTCTTCAAATGATGCCAAATTTAAGAGTTGTTATACTCACTGCTAACTTGTCCTTTGAAAGCATGTATGCGATTCACCATTGCTCTGCAGCAGGCAGGGGACAGATCTTCAGAATCTCCCCCTGAATTTACTAATGAAGGAAAAAGACATCCTTTCTTCTTGGGCAACAGACACAAAATTTAAGCAGATTTTGCATGGTGAATGAGATTTAATGAGCAGGAATACAGACCTCTGGCTGTAAGTTTTGGTGTGGGTTTTTACTCCTATTAAACTTTTCATGTTAAACAACGTCTAAGCTTCGGAGATGAGTCAGTCTTAAAATCTATGTCCACAATCTATTTTCCTTCTTAAGATCCTTTAAAGTTGAGGCACCTATCTGCACAGCAACTTATCTTTTGAAGTCACAAAACTTCAAGTGTGTACTTTTTACTCTGTAGTTTAGCAAATATCCTGGACTCCTTGTGTCACCATTTTAAGCTCTGCGAGGCAGGCACTTTGAGCTAAATTAGGTTTGTTATAATAGAGTTTAACCTGCTTAAATAGAGGCATGTCTCAGCTTGTGTTTTGAGTAACTTTAGGCAAGTTTGGAGAACTGTAGCAA